TAGAGTATTTTTTTAATTAAACACTTCATAGAGTTTTTAGCGTTTGTTAATTGTGTTAATACAAATTAAGAAAATTTTACAAAGATAATTTTACAACCGACAATTTTATGAAGATTTATAGTCATCTTATGAGTTTCAAGTTTTTCTTCATTAATTGCATAATTCATTTTGATATTTTTTGTTCATTAATTTGCATAATTTCTTTTCGAGATTCGAAATTTTGACTTTTTAGTGTAAAATCGTTAATAAAATTTTAGTTAAATCTTCAGAATAATGGATCTTCCACAAAATTCTCTTTTGAGTTTAAACTATACCTTTAAAGTTTTAAACTATGTTATTCTAACAATTTAATTTTAAATAAACTAGGTAAGCAACCCGTGCGATATCGCACGGAACTCATTTATAAAATTAAATATTAAGATATTTTTTTGCGGAAATACATATGCCACAAAATTAAATTACATATAATTATATTCCTTTATTGACAATATTAAAAAATCTATATTTTTATAGGTTTCACTGTAATAAAATTACAAACATGTCAATACCAAATAAGATTATATGTTTTATTATCCATTTAGTTTATTTCAAAAATCTTGAAAACAACTGAATATTTGAAACTAATTAAGCAAACAAACACATTCTAATCTAACCAATTACTAAATTAGTAGGATTACTTATAACAAGTCGGCTATTATGATTTGTTGGAAACCATGTAAGATGTGTGTAGTCAAAAACATGATTACTTGATAATTTTAAGATATATTATCCTTTTATATATTATGTTTAGCATATTTTTCCTACATTCAATTTTGTTAGGCAATCTAGAAAAAATAAAAAAATCTTAAAAATTGACTAAAATTTTAATTTAAAAAAGAGATGGATTTTAAACCGTCAAATTTGTATTTTCCAGTTGAGAAGACATCACATCATTACATATACACTCTATTGCAAAATAAAATGACCCATAATTATATAGAGACATTTATTGTGATATTTAACAATTAAAACACAAAAATTTTAAAATTAATAAAGTTAAGTTTTTCCTGAAAATATAATATTTTAATAACCAAAACTCTGAAAACTAATACCGTTTAATCTTTTTATGAAAAGACACAACTTTTAACACTACTGAGATTCTTATGATTAATTTTTCTTTTATAATGCGAAGACACAGTTCTTAAAACACTTACTGTGATGTTTTAACTACTTTTTAAACTAATTTGTTTTATAGTGAAAATATACAACTCTTAAAACTAATATAGTTCAAATTTTTATATGAAATAACATAACCTTTTTATAATAAAAAGATACAGCTGTTAAACTAAAACATTTCATTTTTTTTATGAAATATACAACTTTTAACATTAATTGAGATTTCTATTATCAACAGATTCTTTTATCCTTTAGGTTAAAGTTTAGTAATTATCTTCCCACCAATCTAAATGGATGATTTTAAAGCACTCCACAATCTCTCTGTCCCACTAATCCCGCCGCCTAAGTGTTTAACGACACGGATTCAGATCCAATCACAATAGTTTAAAGTATACTACTATTCATAAAGTTGAAATCACAATAGTTTAAAATATATAATCGTCATGATTCAAACGGACAAATACCACTGTGCTAATCTTGAATTTAATTTGCTTTAATTAAGAGTAATTAAATGCTCAAAGGAAAACTGCTAACAATCACTACTAGTTCCGCATGACAATTTTGTTTAGGAGACAATCGGGAAGCTTCTCCACCTACTTCGACTAATGTCAATAATCTTAATCAATACCGCTTGTTGACAAAAAGAAACCAATATCTTATTATGAATTTGTAGACATTACATATGTTACCGGTTTGCTTTCTTAATATTCCATATTCAGACAAATGTTGAGAAAACATATTATAAACGAAAACCAAAGAAGCGACATTTTATTTTAATTTGCATACACGATATTAGTTAATAATTGATAAGCAAAATGCCTAATTAGAAATCACCACATGATCACATATGTTGTTGACAATTCTTTTTTTGAATATTTCAGTCGCGAAATAATATCAACTAGATCTTGACCCACACAACCGTGCAGATTTTTAAATTTCGATACTAAAATATTTAGTTTATATAACAAAATTTACCAATAACTTAATGTAATTTAGTGATATATATAATGTAATTCTATATTAGCTATGTTTACGTGGTTTATATATTATTATTATTATAAATTATGTAGTTTGTAACAAAATTATTTTAAATTACTATTATTGTGTAACAATACTATTTTCACATTTTTTTGAATTTAAAATTTGTATGGAAGGCAATTAGATTGGACCTATATAGTAGAGAAGAAATTTTTTGAGATGTTAAAAATATAATTTGTTTTTAAAGAGAAACTATATACACTGTACTTCAAAATAATTTTGTACTAAATATCATATTTAACAAATACACATTGCTGACAAAAGAAAACAAATACACTAAGTTGGATAAAATATCTTCTTTAGTTTTGAAATAGAAATGAATCTTTCTAACAAAATATTTGTAAAGTACATTTTTCAAAAAATAAAATCAGTTTAATTTTTTTATCATTAAATAAATATGTAATTAAACTATTTTCTATAATTTTAAAATTTTGTATATAAATCAAGACTAAATTAATTTTTAATTTCTAATCAGACTTTATGAAAAAATAAAGGGGTTTTTGCAAAACCAACCTAAAATTTCAAGTCAAACACAAAACCAACCTCTTTTTTTTTGTCATTACTATTCACTCTTAAAAAACCTAAACTCTCCTCATGTTTCCACCTATTTATCAAATTGCCATTATTTTTAAATCTGATTTTATTTTCGAAAATTATAAAAAACCTATTACACCCTAAACATTTCTCCTTATTTACCATAATGTCATTGTCATCAATATTTGCAACCACCCAAAACCACCATTGATGAGCTCTTTAAGCTTGTGTTTATGAAATTTCAACCACTTATTTCACTTTCTAAACAAACAATACTTCATTTCCTCTCATTTCCTCTCTATTTTCATCTAAACAATCCTCAT